TGACCTGCTCGCTCAAGTCTCACATATTGGCAGCAATCATATTCTGAAACCTTAGCTGTGGCACTTGATATCTCCAAGGCATTCAATCAAGTCTGGCACCACGGACAAAGCTTCCATCTTATGGCTTGCCTCTCCAGCTATTTCCTCTGCTAGCTAGTTTTCTCTTAAACAAGTCTCTCCATGTAGTGGTCGACGGAGTTTCATCTGACTCTCTAATCATGAATGCTGGTGTTCCGCAAGGATCAATTCTAGCACCAACACTATTTCTACTCCATATCAATGATTTGTTGGAAGCAACTTCATGTCCAGTAAACGGCTTCGCGGATGATAGTACCCTCCATACCGCCTTCTCTTCCAGGGCTTCAATACCAGCCAGGCAAATCAGAAACAAACAAGGGAGGAATGTTGACAACATAAATATGGTCTTGGCAACAATTCTCGAATGGGGATCCAATAACTTGGTAGATTTCAATCCTAACAAAACACACGACGCATGCCTTTTCTCTAGGAAAGCCGATCTCACTGTGTCCAACATAAGCTTGTAAGAGGTAAGCATACCTTTGAAGACATCCATTTCGATGCTTGGTACTACTTTCAGCAATAACCTCTCTCGGAAAAATCACGTGAGATCAATTGCTGAAAGTGCATCCCAAAAACTCGATTCTCTGTTTCGGGCCAGGAGCTATCGCACTACCAATCAGCTGCTCATGATCTATAAGGCACAGATTCGACCTGTCCTGGAAAACTGTTCCCATATTTAGAGTGCAGCACCCGAACATCTCCTGAAACTGTTGGATTCTGTCCAGAAACGGGCGATTTGTCTCGTGAATGACGCCTCGCTCACAAACTCACTCACTTCTCCGGAACACTGTGAACAATTTTGCGATCTGACTCTATTCAATAGATAATTCCATGGACGATGATCTCTTGAAATAACAACAATTGTTCTCTCCTTGGCAGTCCCCGCGAGATCAACCCGTCGAGTTGAGGCTTCGCACGTCTTCGTGGTCACTTTGGAGGCCTGGAGAACATCTCTTTCCATAGACCCGCCCATCCAACGAACAGCGAGGCTCTGGGAAACATTGCCAAGGAAGGTGTTCCTCGAGGCATATATCCTCCAGAACTTCGAGAAGAATACCAATTATTGTCTTTTTTCCCTCAGTTCTCGCGATGGTCTCTGAACATTACAGGACATCCCTTTTCGTGAGAACCAGGACATAAAAGAAACACTCGCTGCTTGACTGACTGACTGTGGCGGTCCGGCAGTCCTTATATATCAGATCCTCAAGCAGGTTTTGCTTGTCGAACCTTCTCGAATAATCTTCCGTGCCCTCCTTTTGTTCTAGAAGCTTCTTAGAACAATGCCTCTTTCTCTAATTGTTCCATCGATTGTTTCCAAAACAATCCAAAATCTACTGTCACGTTATTTGTCACCGCGACATATATTGAGTGATTGGAAATAGGCTGGTACATGTTAAAATCATTGAGATGTTGGAGCAATATTATATTGACGTCTTAATATGGAGTCTTATGGCTGTGAAATTTTGACGTCTTTTCGAGGTCTCCAAGTGTTATATATCGTTGATTCATGTCTTCTTCAGTCCACTTCGTCTCATTGTTCCTGTGGAAGAGAAAAAAATATTATGAGCTGTTCAATGGGTATTCCGTAGTTGGAGCTTGATTAATCAACATTTATAAAATATCATTAGATAAATTTCAATAATAATTGTGAATTAGTATGTTTGAATATAAATAATTATGCGTATTGAATGAAATATGCTCAGTACATTAAATATTATGAATTGAATACTTGTCTCATTTCTTAATGAGACAATTTTCCCTTGTGATAATTTGATATTGTTAAATATTTATTGACCTATGTACATTTATTTATTCTTTATCCTTACTGCAAGGTTAACTTCGTAAGGTTTTTCTCAGTTTATTCAAATTACCTATATGTTCATTCCAATGTATATTTTGTAAACGATTTTGAATAAACTCATATTATTATCATTATTATACTCCAAATCCTGTTCAGTTCAACTCTAACAACTGAATGGAGCCTCTTTCGATATAATCTGAAATTGCTAGGCACTTCTTCTTGCAAGTTGCCCATTAAAAATAAATAAGTACCTGTAGGTTGATGAAGCATGAAATAATAACTGATTAGCTATTCAAAGACCCTTTTGTATTCTGACCGATCCGACCTTCAATTCTTGCCTTCCTCCATCCTGATAGAACAATCAATATTCTTACGTCCATCTCTGAACCTTTAGATTAGGAATGATATGAAATAGGTATTCAGTTTGAACAATTCTTCATATACTCTATTCATCCATGAATACTTGAACTCAAAATGACCATCAAATAAGCATCCAATGGCAGTACGTGCATTGGATGTCCATTCAATTTGATGGACGTTTGGAATCGCAATGGACGTCCATTGTACGTCATGTGCTGTGTGGGTATGAGGTTCAAAAATACGCTGATGATCATAAATTCCATCTGGAGACTAGTCATTCGCATATTAGGTGATTCCACTCTCACTTTCTTCATGAACACTGCAGAAATGTCGGCGACTTTACAATCTCCTATAAATATGTCAACAAAAAATAGTTCAGGAATCTAGGCATCATTACAGTACTAGCAATAACAGTCAGACGAACTGGACTAGCTGTTAGCACATCCTTATGTCGTCAACCTCGAGATATGCTGAACAACTCTCGACCAAATTCTGTTGGTCTTCATATATAAAAAGCTCTGGGATTCTTTGCTTAGTATCCCCAAAATTGTATGACCTTCGAAAATTTTAAACCAGTATAGTTAGGCATCTAGAAGGTGACCGTTGAAAATGTGAGAATGAAACATTATATAAATATTACGATCATCAACTCACTGTTAATTTACAATCGGAAACTCAAGCGCTTGCTTGAAAGCGGTATCAATTCGACAGTGCAGTAAGTATAATCGTTCATGATGTCATCTGCAGAACCGAATGATTATCTAGGCTCTGGGGACTCACCGTCTTCACGTTCTCCTTTCGTCCCTGGACTCCTCTAGCTAATCGAAATATGCCTCTCTTTTCGCCTAGGTGTACTCACGATGTTCCACGGAAATAGTAGGGATCCTCTTCCAAGCGCTCCAAAAGGTAGAAAACAAAATCAAACATCCAACGTTGAAAGTCCCCCTACAAAAAAAACTTCTTCCATCAGGTACTTCATGAAGTGATAACAAATTAAATTGAAAATTTGCGAAATAAAAGGAAAATCTTGAATCTGTCTTCTTCCTCCTTTTCTTTTTTCATTCAAGAAACCGAAAACTTCAATTATTTGCCGAGTTGGTATTCGCTTATTCAATAACAATCGTCAACGAAATTGTCTCGTTCAGGAACATTTCAATACATTTCCTCGTGTTGGTATTCGCCGAGTTGATTATTGTCAACGCAATGAACCTAGAAAATACATTTACGTAACTAACGCATAATCATCACATAATTTTGTTAATCAGTTACGTAACAGAAGAGGTGCTAAGCAGGTTCAAAACTCATGAGTTGGCTGTGCATAATATCCGCAACACGTTATATCAATTCTATGTTATGCTAGTTACATCATAGTTGAATCAATGAAATGTCAATGTGACGTCCCACTTATATAATTGCGAGGTTACTCCTGGGGGTCTATCCTCGAGCGATATTCGTATACGAGTTCGATCTTCTATTTCACTTCAATATACGTCACATACATAAGTGCATCTTCCTTTATTCGTATACGAATTGAATTCGATCGGTTCGAGAATAGAGCCCCTGGTATTATGTATGATAACGAATAATCAGACTAATTAATACTTCAGTGAACGGAAAATATATCAGAAAATTAACCAACCTACAAGTGGTACGAAGTTTTTCAAGGTTGAGTCTGCCACTTTTATACTCACCTTTTTCATTCCAATAATATACCTCCTGCTCAACCACCATATTCGTTTGTGATAGTCGATGATTGCTTCCTATGGATTTCATATTAGTGATCTGAAACACATAAAACAATTATAAAATTATAATTCGGGATGTCTTCAACATTCTGATTTTACTGAAACGTACTTTATCAAACAATAAGATCCCTAGTTTTCTTGTTATATGTTGGGAAACATGCATCAAACATATTATTCAATTCAAGAAAATAGAGTATTTTATGTCCCAACAAATTTTCTGAAACTTAGAGCATTTGATTCTCAAGGCACTCGCTCAACTTCCTCATCAAGTATCAGATAATACAACTCACGTCACAACGTAACAACGCTGACGCCATTTTATTTCTCACTTTCGAGACGACTAGACGAGACGAGAGTGACGAGACCTCCTCTATCGTTCGTGTTCGTTCGCGAAAACTCGAGGGATACTGCAATCAGATTAGTCGTTATCACGTCCGTTTGTTGAAGATGAATTTGTTGTAAATAAATTGATGTGGAATTGACATGAATCTCGGGATATTGTACCAACATAATCATAATTACGAAGATGTTTTATAATTATCACGTGAGAATGTTATGTAAATAAGGTACCACTGTTATATGGAACAATGCTGTACATTCAAGGGGAATAGAATAATATAAGTCCTACATCTATGATTTACAGAACATTGACGTCAATTTGGAGAAATTGAGCTGTGGAACTTTTGATATATGGAAATGACCGCAATGTATGTAAATATAACTAGTGGAAGAGACCTACATTCAATTTTCCACAGCAACTAAGATGTGGACAATTCGTGGGTACCTGACAGTATAATGGGAATTCGCGATAGAAAATAAGCATACCTACCCCACCTATCGGAGTACATGAAAGCTGCCAAAGCGGCATGTTTACTTCGTTTTCATTGGTTCACATTTGCTTTTTGTTTGTGCTCATTATATCATCAAAACGAACCACTCAGAAGTGTTCAAGTTGCTGCCGTCAGATGGGGAGACGTGTTATTTTCTATCGCGAATGATGAATTGTATTTCAGACATGACATTGAACAAGCTGTAAAGGAACAAACCCGATCCTTAGACACGGTGAAAAAGAATATCGAATTAGGCAACAGAAAAATGAATATTTTGCAGAACCAATTGAAAGCTAGCCAGAATGATTTAGAAACATACCAGGTTCGTGATTTGCCTATATAGAAAAATACTTGATACCCAATGAGTTTTTTTTTTTCAGAGAGAGAAGCAACGGCGACTCAACCAGGTCAAATGTACTGTTGTATTGACATTAGACCAAATTTATGATTATAATCCTGAAGAAGATGAGATCACTGATTATTTGGTATTTGCTAAAACTACTTTGAATGATTTATATAAGAGAGTGGGAAGTTTGCAGCATGAAAACTATCAACAGAGAAGTAAATATGAGTGAGTATCACTAGAAACATTATAATCCACCTGATACACAGTCGATGGAATATCAGAAATTCCCTACCCAAATGAAGTATTCTCAACATTGCGATTTTGCCACTCTATTGAAGTGACATATTCAAATATCGAGTTCATCAGTATTTTCATGACGATGATGCGCATAGAAGGGTTTTGTTTTATCGCTGGGTTATACTTACAGGAACAAACGAACAATCCATCATTTTGTTTGATAAGATTAGATTAGATCAAGAGTGGGGCATTCGGACTATCTGCCTCCACACCGCGACCCTCAAAATCGTTTAGAGTTCTTTTCCTAGCCTCGTCTTTCCTATGAGACTCCACAGGCTACAATATACCTTACACAGTGATGAATCTCACCTCACCAACAATCGTGATTCCAATGAAACAATTCCCATTATTGAGCACAAGGAAATCCGCATGTGTTCACAGAAGGAAGAAACAGGGATTCAGATTCGGATTCGAACTCAATTTTTGGCTAGGAGTTTTCGGAATCAGGATAGTAGGACCATACATTTTTGATGGAGTTCCAACAGATGAATGATACCAACAAATTGATGAAATCAAAAATCAAATTTGTTTCCAATAAGATGGAGCACCTCCACATATTCTGTTTGCAGTTCGAAGATATCTCACTAGAACTTTTGAAGTCAATTGGATTGGTACTCATCGTCCAGTTCATTGGCCACCAAGGTCACCATACCTCACGATGGCTCCTTTTCCGCTCATAATAGACCCGAAAATTGCGAGGAACTTGGAGAAAGACTAGCAAATGCCATCAACGAAATTAACCCTTCTCAACTATGCTTTAGAAAAATAAAACAAATCATTGATGTTAAAACGGCCGACATTTTGAACAATTATATTGATTGAGTGGTATTCTGTCATGGGTGTTTAATTTCATGGAGATTATCTTTATCGAAACTGGATGAGAAACAGAAATTTCAAGTTTTATTGCTGTCCCTTATCTCAATATCAATAGAATTACCATTGAAAGAACGAGTTTATTATGGGTCTTGAAAAATTAAGAAAAACTGAAATAGTAAAAGTCTTGTGTGCATAACAATTATTGTATGAAAACTTTGACATCGAGTCATTGTCACTCACATGCTTTGGTTTTATCATCCATAGCACACTTTCATAAAAATATTCCGATGCGAGGAGGATACGAAAAGTATTGTTTTATAAAATACCAATTATTTGAGTCGGTTGTGAATTTGAAGATTAGTTGTGATATATTGTTGAAAGCTTGCCTACGTCATCCATGTATAGCAGGTGTCATTAGGAGAACATGAGGAATCTCTAGCTGTGGCGTTAGACATATCGGAAGCATTCAACCCTCGATTAGACCGAGTTTGGCACCAAGGACTCCTGCACAAACTGAATATACCATCATACGGCTCACCACATCAGCTTTGATCGAGTTTCCTTTCAGGCAGATCACTCCACGTGAAGGTGAACGGTGTTTCATCTGACACAATTACCATCAATTCCGACGTTCCACTAGGATCAATTTTGTCACGACCATTGTTCCTACTTCATATCAATGATCTGTTGGGAGCAACCACTTGCCCTATTCACAGTTTTGCAGATGATAGTACCCTCCAGACTGCGTTCTATTCCAGAATTTCCATGTCTTCCTAGCAAATCAAGAACTCACGGTGCAGGCAGGTCATTGCTGTCAATGATGATCTTGCTGAAATTACCCATATAGCACATGTACGTCCAATGAATGTCCAACGGATGTACAACATGGACATAGTGGACGTCCACTGAACGTCCAGTCATGTACATTGGAACGTCCAGAAAACGTCCACAGCTCACTGGATTTAACATCTTATGGACGTACATTCAGGATGTTCAATGGACGTACATACATTCAGGATGTCTGATGGACGTACATTCAGGATGTCTAATGGACGTACATTCAGGATGTTCAATGGACGTACATTGAGGATGTTCAATGGACGTACATTCAGGATGTCTAATGGACATACACTCAGGATGTACAGTGGACGTACATTTAGGATGTTCAATGAACGTACATTGAGGATGTCCAATGGACGTAAATTGAAAGCAGTCAGTGGATGTCCATTAGAGACGTCCAATGGACGTACGGATGTTCAATGGACATGAACTGAAAGCAGTCAATGAATATCCAAACAAAGAATCCATACTCATATAAAATATTATTTATTAAAAAAATATCTGTAAGGTACAGTGTAATATCATTCAATATAGATACAACATATGCTTGGAATTTATTGCATGAATTTCGTCATTCTGCTCTTGTTCAGCCATCATAATTAGGATGATGTCGAGTTAAACAGAATCTGTAATAGGTTTTCCAGCATAATTTAGCGGCTAAATATTTTTCGACTTACGACATTCATGAAAGATTCGAGTAATCAAAACATACTATCTGAAAAAGCATTAATTCAAAAAACTGACAAGATATAGTTATCCTGATTTTTTGAGGACAGAATTCGATAAAAATGAAACTGAAAAAGTAGAGCTATAATATTACCTATATATGAAGAGAGGAATAATAAAATTGTATACTTGTATAATTGGATACTCACCACAGTTCAGTTCAAATTCTATATAAACGTCCATACAGTGACTATCTGAACCCCAATGATTACTCCTCTTCAGAACCACATTATGAATATAAATATATTCAATACATATAGTCCATACATGGACATCCATTGGACGTAACCCGATTGGACGTTGAACTTCCGGATGACCCAGCCATTATAAGTCTCTTGTATATTGTATGACTTCTGAATATAGGCAGAGGCTGGATATTTCCCTGATTTGATTTCTCAAACATAGTGGAGATGATATCGTGCTTTTCTCACTATATTTTTATAAAAATTATGGATTTATATTTTCTCCAGTCACCTCGCTTCTTCTTTCTGTTAAAAGAGACAAACAAAGTATTACTCATAGTATTCTGTAGTCGAGGATTAGTGTATAAATCAACTGTCTAAGCCCTATATTCAGCAATTCAGCTCAACTTCAACTAGTGCTATACCAATTTAAAGCTCTATTTCTGATATCATATGAAATCCAAGTCGTCCTTTCCGAACAAATCACAAGCTCATAGGTTACCCACAGAATATCATGAAATACCTATTCCGCATTACCTACAACGCCCCAAACCATTATCAGAGCACATTTATCATGTGAAATAAATAGTTATATGAAAAGGAATATCGGAACATATGCTACGTACCATCATACATGCTTTGGATGATTCAGTTCCAAATAGTCTGAATCCTAAATTTCATCACAAACACGTATAAAACACACAAAATGGCGTAACCTCCTTGTCTGCCGTCTACATAATATGTTCACTTTGGAGCTGGACTCGATCGATATCCTCCGTTGCCCCACTTCATGTTCCGATCAGAGCGCCATCTTGCATCCCCTCTACCGTGCGTCCAGCTTTCAACATACAAAGGATGTACAAAAACGTACCATTTGTAAACGTACAAACTGGATCCAATAATGTACGTCACTTGGACGTCCTGAAACTTCTTACTGTAGAAGTTTCACAATATCTGATATTGAACTTCCAATGGACATTCAAAAGACGTACAACATTGAACGTACAATGAATATCCAGAATCGTACATTCATTGAACGTACATAGATGTTCAATTTGTGAACATACAATTTAGATCACTACCGTACTCTTCTAGGTCGGTCCAGAACTGCCATGATATGGATGATGTTTCATAATGTCGAAAATTGTACATCCACTTGACAATCATTGGACGCACGAAACTGAACGTACAATAAATATCTAGGATCGTTCATCCACTGAACGTGCATTCATGTCCATTTTGTCAACGTACAAACTGGATCCAGTCATGTACATCCATCAGACGTACCATTTTGAACTTGAAAAATATATCCGGAATCGTACATTCATTGATCGTACATAGACGTTCGAATCGTAAACGTACAATTTAGATCCGATTTCGTTGATTTCTTGGACGTTCTGAAACCTAGGAATATGGATGTTTTGGTGAAGCCGAATATCTTACTCCCAATGGACATCCATAAGGCGTACAGTACTGGACGTTACAAAATATATCCCTAATTGTACATCCATTGAACGTCCATGTTAGGTTCATGGACCTTTGGACATTATTTGGACCTAAACTGGACGTCCACTGGACGTCGTGTGCTATATGGGTAAAGCCTGGAGAACCAAAAATCTAGTCGAATTCAACGCCATGAAAACTCAAGCTTTCATTTTATCTCGAGAGGCAGATCTCAGTATGCATGATAATGTCTCATACTAACATTTCCACCAAGGCAACTCGGTGTCTCTATCAGCCATACTCATTTATGAGATTATTATGTCAGATCCATCGCGAAAGCTGCTCCACAAAAGCTCGGAATGTCATTCCCTGCGGAAGCTACTTTACATCTCAACAGCTTGTCATGGTTTACGAAGCACATATACGACCTGTTCTAGAATACTATTTTCACATATGGGGTTCAGCACCCAAACATACTCTGATGCTCTTAGATTCCACCCAGAGAAGAGCCATCTGCCTGGTGGGCGATGCCATACTCACTAGCACTTTGAAGTCATTGGAAGATCGGCGACATTCAACTTCTTCAGAGATGATACCACGGGAAATGTTCTTAGCAAAACTTTAGTACAATTTCACGACAAGCAATATCAGCCAGACGAACTCGACGATTGCAGTCAGTAAATCCTTTCGTTGTCAACTTCGAAATATATCGAACAGCAATTCATCAAAACTTGATTCTCTATAGAACGGGAAAGCTCTGGAATTCATCGCCAAAGAAAGTTTTTATAATCCCCAAACGTTCAAAAATAATTTCAACATCTACTCCGTCTCCCTATACTACCTATAATAGGTACGCACGATATTCTCCGAACATTATAAAGAATTCCTGTCGTGCGCACCATGCGATGAAGAACCTTTATT